CCCCCCTTTCCCCTCCATCCCCACTCAACCCATTCCCACCCACCTCTTGCCCAACTATTCCCAGCTGTCAGTCCAGGGCTGTAAAGTCCTAAATGATAACTAGTACACCTGGGAGCAGTGCCTTCTGGGATACTGGAAGATCACAAATTGGTGGTTTTATCTCAGATGAATATCTGAAAGTTAACTTAACCGAAGCTATGTAGCACAGCTCAGAGATAATCCTTGCCTAAAGTGGCATAACTCCAAGATGCCTAAAGGGCACTTAGCACTTGTTAATGAGCCTTAATGTGTAATCATTCAAGTTTCAAGTGCTCTTCACTGTGGTCTAATTGTAATGTGTAATCTCACCCTAAGAGCTTGGCTAAATGGTAATTTTGGGTGGTTCTTGGAGCTCTTAACACCTTGATTGTCCGCACAGTAACACTTGAAATGAGTTTTAAGGATATATTAGGCACCCATGTTATCTCTCTCCAGAGAAGGCTTATCTCTGATCCCTGCTACCCAGTTTGTATTACACGAAGGCAGAGACAAGCAAAGTCTGGCCTGTGGGCCGGATCAAGCAGGTCATGTGTCTGGCTGAGGAGCTACTCTAGGGCAGTAACCGGGATCTTGCGGCAGTGATGCAGGCAGCGGATCGTGGCTCTGCCATGGCTGCAACCTGCACTATCACTGCCACAAGATCTGGGCCCCAGCCTTGGAGCAGCTCCCCCCCCAGTGGTGAGGGCTGCCAGTGCACTGCTCAGGCCAGTCTCCAGGGACACAATGGCCCTGGGCTGCCACAGCTCCACCACTCCTGGGGGCTCTGTGGAGACCTGCCAGAGTGACACAAGCATGGGCTGCTGGGAAATAGAGTCCGGCTACCAGCTGGATCCACCATTTTGCCCATCCCTGGCTCAGCCCAGAGAAGAGCAGTAGCCCGGCAGTGACCAGACAGATAAGTTAACCCTTCCTTGCCTGCTCCACTGGGATGGACAGTACAGGTAGCCACAAGTAAGTGGGGGTAGGGAAGCAGGTGGAGAGCCCCAAGGGCAGGAGAGGGAAACTGGGGGAGCCCCTGGGGTGGGGTAAAGCCCACAATGGGAGGGGGGGGTCATTCTTACCATTCAGTCCTTCAGGCCCCTGCTGACCTGAAGCACAAGTGCTCCAAACTCGAGCTAGAACCAAACACCCATCAACATTTGTGCACCTCACAGCGTAAGGTGTAACAAGGCCCGGCGGTTCCTAGCCAAGACTGCTTACAGGCTAAGCCAGGGGTGGGCAAAATGGCTGATCCAGCCAGAGGCCGGACTTCATTTCCCAGCTGCCCCTGCCCACATCATTGCAACCAGTTTCCATGGAGATCCCAGGAAAGGGCCAGGGTTTCCAGGGAGACCGGTCCCAGCAGTGCTGGGGCAGGGTGCACAGCTGGACAGGGAGCTGCTCTGGGGCTGGGGCAGAGCTGCAATCTACTGCCTGCATGCCCCTGTCCAAGTAGTGTGGGCTCCTCGGGTCTCCATTGAAACCGGCCATAGTGATGTGGGTAAGGGCTGCTGGGAAATGGAGTCCACCATGGGTCCAATCCGGCCTGTGGGTCAGATTTTGCCCACCCCTGGTCTAGACCTATCCAGAGTTAAATATTGAGAGCTAAGTGTATCTGCTACATGTGAAAGGATAATATCCCATAAAACACGGGCCAAGATTTTGAAAACTGAACAAGTAGTGTGGGTGCCAAGTAAATGCTTACCCTTTAGAAATCAGAATGGAAAAGGGGTTCTCAAGCTGGGTGCCCAGAATTACCAGAGGCAAGACTGTTTGGGGCTGATACCTTTTATTGAACCACCCGCATGCAACTATGCAGTTGCACAATGGAGCTGGTCCAATAAAAGATACAATCCACAAAAACGTCTCTTCCTGGACCAACGTGGCATTAACTTCATTTTACCACCAACATTACTAGATGCTTTTGGAAGTCCTGGTCATAGATCCTACAGATACTCCAGGGCTCTGTACAGAATTGCTAAATATTTTAGTCAGACAAACCAAGAACCAGTTTGGCCGTCAGAACCAGCCACTCTGCAAAGAGAGAAAGTCATTGGTTAACAAAAATGCTGACAGACAAGTTCCTGTTTTAAGAAGTTGAAGGCAATAAAGTCCAGACATTTCTATGCAACATATTTTTGTCTGAGAGAGAGATACGCCTACCAGATAAGTCTACTTCCCTGCAAGAAAGCTACAGGTAGCCGGCCAGAGTCATCAACTTGATGATGTATTTTGAAAATACTCATTTTATCATACACAAAGAATGTTCACTGCATTATAATAATCTACAAACTAGAAGAATCAAGCTGTTGTGATTAACACACATTTCTGCCTATAATCCACCTAAGAAAATTGTCTTGGTTAGTCATATCTTCATTTTTAATGGCACTAAAGTATGCTTTGATGTACATACTACTGGAAAAGCATTATATTGCCCAGAAAAAAAATCCAAGAGATTTAAAACTGCACATCAGACAGCTCAAAACTAGGATTTCAATAGAGTTCTGGCAATATATGCCTGCCAGATATGTGCCCCACAACAATTAAATCTTTTTGAAACATGAAAATGAGTGTATTGCTGTAGTTTTAAAATGTATATGAATTTTCATCATGAAGGCAGTAGAACAGCTTTCCCCATCTTCCTCCTGCATACCCCAATTATAATATAAAGCGAGTGTCCATGGGGCAATAAAGAATTCATTCTAAACAGCCTTTTCAGTCCTAAGCCACTTCTGCAGAGATTGTCAACAAGTGAATATATTTCTTCTCACGTGGATATCAGTCTGCTCAACTGAATTGAAACCAATAGCCCTTTTAAAAGTTTATGCTCTTTAAAAGTTTGTTCCAGCTTAAAGAATTCTATTAATTTAAGAACTATGCTTTATACTTGAAATACTATAGCTGGCACTGATAACAGCTCAAAAAAGAGGGAAAAAAATGAAAGTGCGGTCACTGGCATAATATAAGCTACCAACAGCTACCAGTTAGTAAAAACTTTCAGTCAATGCAAATGTTGGCTAAAATTGAACAGGTGACAGAGAAGAAAGTCTCTATATCTCATCACCAATCCTTTGAGCCATTCAATCTCTCTGAAATCTGTTTCCTAACTGAAATGTTATCCTCTGCTCGTCACATACATTATACAGTAGAATTCCTTATGAAGACTCCCTGCTGACATCAGTGTGTGTGTTGGGTTTATCCATGGCTTCTTTCAGAAAGTGGGCACGGATACATGCAGACATCTGAAGTCTTGGAAAAACTGCACGAGTCTGCAGTAAACAAATAAAAGAAAAAAGAAAGTTTTCCCAATTGTGAAGGTCATTACTAAGTACACTGAATGAACCAAAAAATGTTCGTTATATAGCAACATCACCGTTATCTCGCCAGGTCTAAAACAGTCAATATCAACATCACGTTTATCTTCCTAGGGCTAAACTAGTCAAAAAGCCAATATCTATTCCATAACCATTGTTTGTCTTTCCAAATAGTACAGTATTTAAAAAATATTTTCAGGATTGAACGACCGCAAAACCCCACCTTGGAAAAGCATCAGAAAATTTTGCACGGTGATTAAAATCAGACTATTAAGCTGGTTTCATTAACACACCCACATGCCTCCCTCTAATGTTATTCAGCGTGATGGTAGGGTTGAAAATGACAAAAAGAAAATTTATACCAGCATTCTTGTATGAACGGATGTGCCAGACGTCTGTCTTCAGACCTAGGTGACAAGGGAAACAGGAAAGTGCAGTGACATCTGAAACTCAAAACTGAACCAAACATTTTCTATTTCACTTACAGGACATTCCACCACAACCCTGCAAGGACAGCTTGACCAACTAAAGCTCTGCACACCCAGGTATGTGATCAGACTTGTCAACAGTTTGCCAGCACTAATATAATGTACATTCACACCCACTGGATTAGGCAACTATTTAGATAAGCAAACTGCCTCTTTTCAGAAGGGGAAGGAGAATCCTAGTGCTGTCATGTGTTAATGCATTAATTATATCAGAAAAATTCCAGGCTCAGAGGCTAAAACACTTAATATTATAGGAAATATAAGGCTGCAAACACCACACTAATTCATGCAATCTACCCAAGCATCTAATCTTTCTAGTTGACTGAAAAAGTTACATCAAAGCAAAATCAAATCACCACTACCAAAGAAAAACAGCTTCAAGAAAGTCAGCTGAGAACTAGCTATTGACAATAAAGCTAATTATGAAATCCTGTTTAAGATAGACAACAGTTTTTTTCACAAAGATGACCTGCAAGTTGCTCTGCAGTCTGGAGTATCCCATACTCTGCTCTATTTGCATTCTGTTCCACTATGTCCCCTATGTGAAGAGTCAACCTAGGGTCAACATCTCCCTCTGCAGTATCTGACTAAGGAAGTTCCTCCCAAACATGTATTGGTTTGGACTGGGGAAAGGCAAAATCTTACCCAAAGTTTTATTCTACAGATACAATAACACAAATCTGCACTGTTGTTAAACTTTCCCCTTGTTTGAACTTTGACTTTTCCATCTACCTTTCCAGTTTCCTTGTGCAAGACATTCTCCTTCCATTTGTCAAAGGAAACACCGCCTTTCAAGACTATTTCTAGGAGTTAAACTAGTAAAATTAAGGGATTAAAACTAGCAAACCTATTTATGGGTTCAAAAATACTGGGAATTTCAGTGAGTCATAAAATACAAAATATGGCATTAACTATGTCTTGGTAATAATACCTGTCAGAATAAAATGCATGAGACAAGTTTAAAGGATTTGTATTTCAATCTTTCACCAAGTTAATTAACGGGATTACTACATTCACTTAAAAGGATAAAATGGGCTACAGAGCAGCCATAAAATGAGTGGTCACAAGACTGTACTCAGAATGGTAACAAAAATGGGTTATGTGTCTATCATTTCTTTATCCCATAACAAGCATGATTCATCTGAGGCCATTTTCTGTCCTTATTCTATTTTTTCCTGATAAAAAGACCATGAACATTTAATAGACTTCTAACAAAATCAAGGCTGTAACCTTTACCGCATTTCACCTTTTGCTTGGCTGTCCATTTTTATTGTGGAGTTGTAAGGTCTATGCTGGAGAGAAAAAGTGAATAGCCAGTAAATTACACCAAAGAACCCTGAAAAGGTCAAAGGATTACACATTGCTGTTTGCTTTTATGGAACATATGAGGCATTCAAATTGTGGAACTAAATACTTGTGACAAAAATGACAGGAGATAAAAATGAGTAGGCCTGAATCTGTTGTTGCTGAGACAGTAACTGATGGGATTGGAAAGGGATATATATTGCAGTGTTTTCTTCTTTAAAAAAAGAAAAAACAAGTTTGGAAAGAAGCTGATCATTGTAGATTCTTCGCTCGAGGACAGAAGTCAAATGACTTTTGATGGCACTTAGGGCTACATGAAGAATGGGAGAATGCTTGGTGATACTCACAATAACTGTCCTGCAAAGAGGAGTCCACAGTCCATGAGTTAGCCATTTAAATTCCATATACAAGGCATGGAGAGCATTAGATATCTAGGAATGTGGACCCAGACCCAAGTAGCATGCTGAGTTAGGGGACACTTAAGCTAACGAAAAGAAAACACAGAAAAGAGGTGCATCTAAAAATCTCACCTCCGTCAGAGCTCAGGCACCCCAACCCCAATCCATATAAAGTCAGGATTCACAGCTCCAAACTTTCTCCTACAGTTAGGAACCTAAGCCCTTACTTTTAGGGATTAAAGCCTAGCTCCTGCCTAACTCACATATGCGCATTAACGCAGTGTGTGTCCATTGGCTTGGGACTAACTTTAGTCCCAAATCTATCCGCACACCCACATTAATGTACATTAGTGTGTGCACATGTATACACATGAATTGCTTGAATGTGCATTAGGCAAATGCACATTAAGTTTAGGTGCATGTAAAAGTGCATGTAGACATGACCTTTCAGTCCCACTTTCATCTCTTCTGGTGGTGTTAATCAGGAGTACATCCATGTAAACAAGTTACCCTGGCAAGAAACCAGTGAAAAAAAAAATCAACATCTTACTACAACTGTCCACCGCAGGCAAAATAGTTCAATGGGCTGTACCAACTGGAATTTTACAAAATGTGTGTAGTGCTTGCGACGGATGCCAGACAGATGGCAGTGTCAGAAGACCTCTCTTTTCCACAACATATGCAGAAAAAGCAGCATCTCTTCTGCATCCCTGCCTAACCTATTTTCCAGAGGGATCAACAAAATGTATTGATTTCCCATTTATGTCTGATTCTTCCCTTCTTAGCTGGGACTGCCAAGAGGGATGGTAATTAATGCTAGTTATAACCATGGTTTTGCAATCTAGAGCACAAGGCTACCAGGAATTAGTCTCTGAACATCTGTAACTATTTTAAGTCACTACCACTTAGAAAGAGAGGCATCTCATTGCCATTCCTTGAGCAGTCCAGACTTTTGGCAAACTTTTTTTTAGCATCTTTACCAAAAATTGTGCCTGGCAGTCACAGTTTTTGCTTATTTCTTGTTAAATACACAAAAATGAAAACAGTTTACTATGCTCATTTTTATTAAAAATTTCAGAGTTGTGCTAATGGAAGTGTCCTGTGTCTCATGACCTATCACTGCAAAACGTGATTTGATTCTGAAGAGTAACAGAGCCCAGGAGAGTGAAAGATCATTTATTTACTGATAATTCTTAATCATGGATGTGAGAAATGATTAAGAGTTTCTTAACTTTTTTGTAGCATATAAACCTCTGATTTCATTCCATGAATCACTCTGTGATGTTATGAAACATTCATGAGGCTAAAAAGAAAACTCTCAAGGTGAAATCATATGCTAAATAAACATCCCTTATTTCTGTTACTACTAACATGTTGGGTGCCAAACCTCGCACTTCCTGTTCTGATGGAACAACCCATTTACCTTGGTGGGCACGTAGTCTGCAGACTTTTTTGCTAACAAATCTGGGCGTCTTAGGATGACATATGGTCCCCCACATTATGTAAAAGTTCTTACTTTGCCACTTGGACTTCCCAACAACTGTAAATTTAGGAGAGAGGCAGCAGATAATGACACATCCCCAAAATGAAACCAAAGAACAATCTGTTCAGTAGACCTCCTTGGGCAACAAGGTATCATTCAGCAGCCCCAGTCTGCCACTACCTCATCGTCATTGCTGAGCTCAGACATAATAAATATTGGTGGCTACAGAGAGATGCACCTTGGTCCTGACAGCTGGTTGGCCCTGGCAGAAGTCAGAGGAAAGAGAATCCACCTTAAATTCAGCCAAGTTTATACCACTGAAGGATCAATTCTAGCAGTATGCAGCTCCATCACATGCACCATTTCCTTTCCTTTAAGTTAGTGATAGGAAAATAGCTGGTTTAGCACAATTATGTCACCTCTGCTATCCTTAAAATAGCAGGGTTTTCCTTGCACTTGTGAAATTTCAGGGTGATTCTCACGTCAGCTTAAGTGTGCTTGTCCCTCCTCTTTGGCACAAAGTGAATTGAATGGACATGACAGCCTGGCTCCTTGTGAATAAAGATGGGGCAATTTGGTCCTACCTTATATAAAACAGGAATGCTCTGAGAGAGTTTGAACATAATTGATTTTATCTTTTTAGTAGCTTAGATGATGTAAGAGTAGATTCATAGATGTTAGGGTCGGAAGGGACCTCTATAGATCATCGAGTCCGACCCCCTGCATAAGCAGGCAAGAGTGCTGGGTCTAGATGACCCCAGCTAGATACTCATCTAACCTCCTCTTGAAGACCCCCAGGGTAGGGGAGAGCATCACCTCCCTTGGGAGCCCGTTCCAGACCCTGTAGTAGGTAGTAGGTACACAATAAACAAAAAAAGGTCTACCTCCCCAGGTCCTTCCTCAATTTTATGCATCTTATGGTCAAGAAAACTGCAGTGGATAAATTAAAGGGTGGATTGTGTGTCTGAGGGTGAGGAGGAAGAGAAAAACACCTTTCTCTAAATGATACAAGAGAGGTTAGTGGTATTCCATGCTATTTCCCTGCAAGTCTGGTGAAACTACGCCTAGAATAGTTCTTTCACTGCTGGCCCAAAGTATACAGGCAAGTTGGAGTGAAATCAGACAACAGCAAGAAAAGTTAAAGTATTAAATTGTATG